GGTAGGTTTCATAAATCTTTGCAACTAACAATTTTGATAACTGATGAATCTAATGATTATCAGAACAATTGTCTTTACAGTAAGAGCATAATACACATCTCATGATTCAGTGTAGTGTACAATACTGAACTCGTGGTTCATGATTCTTTTAACTGAATCTGTTTAAAAAAAAAATGTAGGCCTTATGTCCACCAAACGGCTAAAAAACATTTAGGCCGTGTGTCCACCAAAAGGCTAGCATATTTTATAAACTGCTTTCAATGGAAGCGCTGCATTTTTTTTAAAACCCCAGCAGCGTGAAGAGGTGCTGAGCATCTGTTTTGCGCTGAGCGCTCTGCATTTATTAATCGGTCCCTGAGAGTTGAAGAATGTTCAACTTTGAGTAAAACGCAGCACTCATCACTGTCACTTTTTACCCAGCAGTCCAATCAGAGTGGAGAACAACCCTATAAACATCATTTTAGTACTTCAGATTACAGTGTGTTTATGTTAAAGTTGATATTAATAAAAAATAACTTAATAGTTAACAACATGTTCAGTTGGATTAATTTAAACACTGCCTGCATCATGACATGATTATGATCCGTAATAATGCATTGATTATGACAGCGCAGCTTTCAGGTATATTAGATTTGCCATTAGCGTTCACCGCTTCCATAATGCTTTGGGAAAAAATCACAAGGTAACGACTCTTCAATGCAGGCTTTGATGTCTGTGTACTATTCTGAAATAGCTTTTTAGAACCGCTTTTCTGGCAATTCTGCACTTAACTTAGTTTAAAACAAGTCAAATAAATTACTTATTTTAATTTTATTTATATTGCTATAAGCATTTACTCAACCAAAAACAAGACACTCCTAAAATGTCTTGTTTGATGAAGATGTACTGTAGTCTGCAGCATTCCTGAATTGCAGTCATTTAAGTTTTAAGTCATTTTCCAGTGTTTCCTCAAAAGTGGAGATGACCGGTAATAGGCTAGTTTTATGTTGATTTTTCTTGTTTTTTTTATTTTTGGAGGGTCAATTTTAAGTATATTTTCTTGAGTGACTTTTTCTTCCATATTTGTTACTAGTTTTTTTATTTATTTATTTTTTTTATTAAAAAAAAGAGTCTAGAGCACAAAAACACATTTACTTGTTTATCACCATTTATTCACTTCATATCTGTTCGTGTTTATCACTAATCATGGTAAATTACAGTTCATATGAAAGCATGCATTATTTATTATTGTTATTATGGGATTGCTGGCTTGCGGGGGTGTGGTCACCAACAGAGTCGACCCTGACATCCAGTGTAGGAAAATGCCATCCGTTAAGAGACTGAACGCCAGTGGGCGGAGCCTATGGTGTGATGATTTATAGCTATTGGTCGATGTCTTGCTCTAGAGGTGGTCATATGCAAATATATTTGCCCATGTGACATCACCGATCCCACAATATCAAAACAAGCTGTTTTTGGAGCTTGATTAAATAAATGCTTTGTTTGTAATGAGGAGGACATCTTAAGCTATGAAACTTGCAGGATGTGTTAATGGTACAAAGACCTCTTATATGCTAAAAGTTCGAGGCAAATTTGATTTCCAATGTCATGACCCTTTTAATTATTAATTCATTAGCTCTGATGCATACTTAACATCTTTGGGACGAATGTTTTTCTGAGGATAAAATTACTTTTTGACCAAATCATGCATTCACTTACTTTATGTGACTGTGGGCAAGCAAAAGCAGTTTAAGAAAGCTACATTTTGGTCTCTGTTTTTTATGGTTATACAATCTATATTGTCTGTCTTGTCATTTGTAGAGACAACCAGGATAACAGTGAAGAGACCATGGTGTGAAGAAGAGAGAAGCGCAGTAAACAAACATCTAGCAAGGTTTGTGGCATTTCTAACGCTTGTTAGTGTTAACCGAGCTGGTCACTGGTTCATCAAATTACACCAATTAAAGAAGTAGACTGTTTTTGAACATCAATCTGAAAATAGCATTTTTTTTTGCATTTCTCAGGCAGCTTTATAGTGATCAACAGGAAAATGCTTAATGATGCAAATAGAAATTAATGTAGTTGTAAAGATGCTCGGAGTCATTACTCAGCTGATGTTTGTTCAGTTCAGTTCTGACTGTGTGCAAGCAAAAGCAGTTTAAGAAAGCTACAATTTGGTCTCTGTTTTTTATGGTTATACAATCTTTATTGTGTGTCTTGTCATTTGTAGAGACAACCAGGATAACAGTGAAGAGACCATAGTGTGAAGAAGAGAGAAGCGCAGTAAACAAACATCTAGCAAGGTTTGTGGCATTTCTAATGCTTGTTAGTGTTAACCGAGCTGGTCACTGGTTCATCAAATTACACCAATTAAAGAAGTAGACTGTTTTTGAACATCAATCTGAAAATAGCATTTTTTTTTGCATTTCTCAGGCAGCTTTATAGTGATCAACAGGAAAATGCTTAATGATGCAAATAGAAATTAATGTAGTTGTAAAGATGCTCGGAGTCATTACTCAGCTGATGTTTGTTCAGTTCAGTTCAATAATGACTCAAAGTTGTCCACAATAAAACTAATAAATAAATAAAAATAATGTACTTACAATAATTCAGTCAGAAACGAACTCAATAATAATTTTTTTATTACCAGAGAACCTTTTGGATCCCAGCCTGCATGCACGATTTGTTTCATGTGCCAGTAATGAACTGCCCAAAGCCCTGCGTAAGTTACAAAGCTTTCTGAAGATTCCAGACAACACAATGCATAAGTGGAGCAAGAGTTTGATTTCATAGTTAATGGTTTTCATTGTGTGGGCTGATTTCTTTTTATTATGTTTTAGAAAACCTCAAGGAAAATAGCGACAGCAATGGTCTGGACCACTTCTTTGGTCTTCTTGGGGGTTATTGGTTGGCTCCTCTGGCCACAGGCCAGGTGTCATCCTCAACCTCACCACAGAAGAAGTCATCGACTCTAAAGAGGGACAGCATGGCCACGCAATTTTTGTAAGTGTTTTAGTAGTCATTAACGTTTTTCACATTTGTTTGTTTAAATATATAGTCGTATACTTATTCA